GACTACGTGGTCCATCGACCATCAGGACCTCTACCGCCGGGTCACTGCTATCGCATTCTGACGCAGTCTCTATGGAGCCAGTCGACAGGTCGAACAGGCCGTAGAGAGATTCGTCGGGCTCGATCGCCGCGACTTGGGGGATGGCCGACTGGCGGGCCACCGCATGCCTCACTCACCGCTGAAGCCTCGACCGACCGGAATGCTTGCGCCGGTGGGAGACTGGGAATGAAGACAGCGCAGGAGCCGGCCCATACTGGGTCAACGGTTGCCGCAGGAGGACGCCGCGGACACATGCGCGAAAGTGCGTCGCCCCGCGGACGGGGAGCGCGTCCACGTCGAGTGGAGCCTCTTGAAGCCAAGCGGAGCTGTCGGCGACGAACGTGAGCGCACCGAGACGGATCTCGTGGCCGTCGACCAGAACTCCACCTGAAACCATGATGCCGGAGATCGAAAGAATCCCAACTTCTCCAACAAATCGCTAGAACACCTGCCCCACGGTGGGCGCCAACTGTCGTGGTTCTAAGTATGACAGTAGAATGGGGGGTAGGTATGGAGAGGCAAGATCCTAGCTATGGAGTAGTTGTATACGCAAGGGATTTACGAGTTCAGGCCCTTCTCGGAGGAAGTAATAGCCCTACGTCTCGGAGCCCGGAGGCGGTCGACTGGATTATATGCATATGTGTTACAGGGGTGCGAACCCTTCTACCTGTGGAGGGGGTGGCTTATATAGAGTGCGCCAGGACCCCAGCCAGCCCACGTAGGAGAGGGTTAAAGGTGCGTTAAGGCCAGGCGTTACTGGTAACGCCTTACATAAAGTACCATTATGACCATAAAGGCTATTTAACTACAGACCGTTTGGACACCGAGTGGCTCTTGGACTCCTGGTGGTCGAGTGGGTCTTCATGGTCGAGTGTCTTTGAATCTGTCGAGTGGAAGCCTACCAGGTCGACTGGAAGGTTGCTTCTCTTGTGAGTCTCCTTGAGGAGGGTACCTTTGGGCAGGTCTATGACCCTACCCCAGGTATATGACTTCATCAACCGTCTCGGCAATATCTATCGCTACTTCTATCCATTTGATGTAGGGATGCTGATAGTCTGGGCCTAATACCAAACAGACCTCGCAGCCAAACCTAACATCTGAGACCTGAGGTCCCAATCAGGACGCCTGCCAGGTATGGGGCACCCACCAGTCCGGCGCACTCCTTAACCAGGACGCCTGCCGGGTATGAGGCCGCCTCAGCCACCTGCCATCAATCCATCTTCAATGATGTACTGCTGCATCTACCTTGCCCGGTTTAGCTGCCGTCGACGCCACCACGACGCCAGACAACGCCATCATCCTGCGTCCATCATCACACACCCACCAGCGAGACCCCGCTGCTCCATGCCGCCGAGGCCCGCCGTCGTCGACGCGAGAGAAGGCACACCACACCACCTCATGCCTCTTCCATCCGGCAGCGCTCCACAAACGATGCCCCCAATAGGGAACACGACACCGCAGCGCCGCCATCGTCTGATCCAGTGATCTTAGGATTTCTCCCGGAGCGGCATGAGCAGGTTGACGATAGTTGCTTGACGATGCCTTCATCAAGGTAACGACGTAGACGCCGCCGTCGCCCGCCATGACCGGAGTCTGCTCGGATTTCACCGGCGACTATGTCTCCCCAACTCGCCGCTGGTGCTAATAGTGGGATCCAAGATCCGTCACTACCAGCCTGGCCAACCGCCTTCAGTGGAGAAGGCAGCCACCACCACCATGCCCGGGCCAAGAGACCCGGACGTCCTCTGCCGCGAAGATTACCCAGGGGGATCTCCTCTTGCCGTTGTCGAGACGAGGCGCAGCCGCAGTGGATCTCAATCTAAACCCCTCGGGCCCGGATCAGATCTCATCCGCCAGACAGCTGCCGGAGATCTCCTGGCCACCGCCAACCCGCTGCGCACTGCCGTCGGAGGAGAAGGGAGATGGACGCCGCTACCCCCACGCGTTACCGCCGGCTGAGGACCGCACTGCCGCCGCCGCCTCACCACAGGGGCTTCGCCCCGCGACGTCCTCAGCGACGGCTGCGGTAGAGGGAGGCGATGGAGGGGGAGGGCTGAGGGCGGTGTGGACGGGGCCTCCCCGGGGGCGGCGCAGCGCCGCCGCCTCGGGGGAGAGAGGTCGTGGCAACAAACTGCGATAGTGCATTCCTTTTTTGTTATTTACCGCCGTTACCCACCCTCTGCTTAAACAACAACTTGTTGCGACATCCTAACAAGTTGATAGGGTATGATATGGTTGGGTGATAGGCTGATAGCTGGAGATTTGGCCGGGAGTGAGAGCAAGGTATAGTGCCACCAACCATGCATGTGATCACGTACACCAATAATCAAGACCAAAGCAATGCATGAACGGGTTCATAAACTAATAGTGCAACCTTATATGCCTTTTATGCGTGCCGCGCCTTCAAATTTGTAACGTAGAAACACAGTTTTTTTTTTAGAGAATCTTTGCCCACCATTTATTTTGGAGCTGTAGTCTTGTCTCGATTCTATGGGGTCTGATTCTTCGTTGGGCTCGGCTGCAAGAGGTCGCCCTTCAGACCAATCTTCCATTACGAGATCGGTGGCAAAACTCTAGAGATAGAGTTCAGGGATCAAAGCGAAAATACTTGAACACTTTGGTGCTGCTTGTCACCGGGAGCATTTGGCGGGAAAGGAATGGCAGGATCTTTGAGAATCAACACACCGCCGCTCGGTGGGCCAGGGTGGGCCAACAGTGAACAGTTCATGTAAATTTACTTTTAGTATTATTTCCTACTTCCACCATTTTAATACAAAGTTAGTATAAAGTTGGGTCATTTATTTTGGAACAGAGGGAGTAGCTTTCTTTTTTACTATTCTCTCAAAAAAGCATTTTGTACTGTGGTACATGCCATTTTCCAATCTCAGGGCGTCCACCCTCTACATCTGCCATTTAATTTTAGCATTATTTTCTACTCCCTCTGTCTCACAGTGTCAAAAACGCTCTTACATTACGAGACGGAGGGAGTAGCGCCCTCTTATTTCCGTACGCTGGTGCATTCCAGAAAAAAAAAATCTAATGATATATAGAAAATACTTTATTTAACCGCAATGTACAGAAAACCCTATCACGAGTTCATGACCGAAACCGACTATTGCTACGACAGCCATACTGATTGCCTTTTTTCTCGGATGCATACTGCTTGCTCCACACAATGACACAATATCGTCTGAAGCTCACACACACCCGCGCTTGAGGAAAGCTGGTCTCAGTTAATATTATCACTCCAACAAAGAAACAATAACAAACTGATTGATTGACGCAAAGTGATAAGAGACGACAAGCAATAACAAACTTCCAAAATCGCCAACAAGAAATAAATAAATCGTCTACTTTTGGTCCGTTGGCCGTCAAACGATATCAATCTCCCCCATGCCAGCTCTGGCGTCGTGGAAGATCACCGAACAGACACCTGTTACTCGTCATCGTACGCCACCGGGCCCCACCACAGCAGTTTCGACTTCATAGCAACAAACCAGCCAAGGCCATTCCACGAACACGCCGGAAAAGATCTGACTACCTCAACCAATGTCGTGTCTCCTACATCGCTCCCTGCGATACCATTGCCACAGAAGCCTCGGCGGCAATGTTCTGCCCCTGCTTTGTTATGAGTGTTTTCAGACTTCCTGCATCGGCGTGTGATGAATTAAGGATGCGTAAAGGAAAATTTGAAACCTCCTACCGACCCATTTCGCCGAAGCGTAACTGTCTCTTCAATCGTGTATCTGACTTTTTTGGATGGAAAAGGAGCATGGAGATTGGATCGATTGCGTGATCATTTTTGGTTTATGAACATTCAGCATATCCTAAGATCCGAACTTCTCCAAGACAGCGATCGGATTTTATCTCTTGGTATCTGGAAAAGAGTGGTATTTTTACAGTCAAGAGTGCTTATAGGCTAGCTACGCGTCACAACACCGCACGGTCCACCCAACACGCCTATGCCTCGCCCAGCACGCGGCCACCGCTGCTCGGCCCCTTGCACGCCCCTACCGCGCCTCATGCGCAGATGTGCTACGCGCCGCAGCCTCACTCCAGATCCACGGCACACGCAGCACTGTGCAACTGCAGCGTCGCAACGCCTCTGGCCACGCCGCCGCGTCACGAGCCTCCCTGGCCGTGACTGCCACGTTGCACGCACCCTGGCCATGGCCGTCGCGCCACCACGCACCTCTGCTCGCGCACTTGCCTTAAGAGCGAGAAAGGGCCCGCCGGCCCCCAAAGGCGGCTGCGAGGGGTGGAACGACGGGATGTGGAGGAGGTGCGGCGGCTAGGTTTCACCCCCGGGTCGCCCGCAGCGGGAGTCGTCCTTACACGAGGAGTAGCTTGTAGTGCCATCATTACAACACAACACAGGTATCAAGCACAAAAAAGTAACCATGCAAACTGAACGAGATCATAAACTAATTATAAATGAACGAGATCATAAACTAATTGTGTAACCTTAGAGGCCAGAAATGTGCTTCTTTCATGATCGACTGGGCCAAAAACTAAGTTATTTCCGTCTTGCAGCTATGCAAGCTTGCCTAGTGACACACAAAAACTTGAAAAGTTCAAGTTCGATGATACAATCGCAGACGGGTGCGACCAAAAACTGACTGTCTTGCCGCATGCAGTATTCACTAGCGAATCACGATTCCCGACAGAAGACACTCACCTAATCACACTACACAAGCATCAAAAGCTCATCAAACAAAACAGGGTTGAGAAAACCTCATCTCAATCAATATATTATGGATCCTTCATTTCGAGTTACATGACATGAAACTAACATTCTACTCCCTCCGTAAACTAATATAAGAGCGTTTAGAATACTAAAGTAGTGATCTAAATGCTCTTATATTAGTTTACAGAGGGAGTATTAACTAAACTCTTTCCAAAATCTTTGGTTATAAACCTGTCATCAAACTGATAACAGACATCCAGGAAGCCAGCTACAACTAAATAGAATAGGCAAAAAAAAAACCTGCAAAGAGAAAGAGAAGCACTTGTGAGTTCTCACATTTCTGGGAATGTGATGCTTGTAAACAAGGATTGGAACTTTCAGGAAAAGAGACTACATAGTGATATCATTGTAACATAAAACACAGGTAGCAAGTAAAGATAAAACACGCTGTGATCTTAAATACATTGTATTAAGGCAACGATCCAAAAGCCCATCTAGCTCATAATCCCTATTTCTGGATTCTAGACTGAAGGGAACGATATGCAATCCAATGCAAGGAATAAAACATCTCAAATACCTAAACAACACAAGTATACAATGGTACAACAAGCAAATTAATCTTACTGCATGAGTGATACACTAACGAGAAATAACAAATATGGGGGTCATTGGAGGCAAGGCTGTGAAGAATTGGTCAAATGAGTATCAACCAAAGCACATCCTCGTACTATGAAACCACTGCACTTTATATCGGGCCCCAACTTCCGAGCACCCCACAGAGAACCTGCAGGTATTTCGAAGCTATTGAAAGAGCTTCCCCCAAATGGCATGGGGCCCTTGAATGCTCACAGCAATCAAAACGTATAACAGTCTATGATAAAATCATTTCAACACTTTGAGACACAAATTAGGCCATGGTCGTAGGTATCTAAATGGACAACAATCACTGAAACAAATACACATTATACGTGCGTAAGCTACTGAAGAATTAGTATCAGGACACATTCTACCTTCAGGTGCTGCTGGGGTACATGAAGACGCGGACCTTCTTGCCCTGCAGAGCAAGAATCACCCAACAACACCAACATCAGCAAAGGGCACGACAGACCACGATGATGTGCAAAGGCGCAATCGAGTGAGAGACTTTACCATGGAGGTGGCGGGGAGGTTGGAGCGGAACCGCGCGCGCACGACGCCGGAGTTGCCGTGGGGGCGCGTGACCTTGCCCCAGATGCAGCGGACGGTGGTGCCGCTGCTCTTGGTCTTGGCCTTGTAGACGTAAGCGATGCGCTTGCCGGCGTAGTAGGACACGTCCTCCTTGGTGTTCACCCCCTCCACCTGCAGCAGCGACGTGCCCTCGTACTGGTTCGACTTGGACCTGCGCCGCCGCCGCCGCCGCAAAACCAGGTGAGAAACCTCGCGACGACAGCACTGATCGACAAACGGAGAAGGGAGATGGCCTGTCACCTCTTGTAGCCCAGGATGGTGCCCCGCACGTAGAGCCTGACGCGCTGGCCCTGGCGTCCCTGCACCATTGTCGCCGCCGCCGGTCGCCGAGGAAGGTGGTGGTGGGAAGTGGGGGGAGGTGGCGGCGCGGAGGAATGAACCCTAGAGCACGGGGTTTTAAAAGTTTCTGGCCGTGGATTGGACGGTCCAGATTGCGTGGCATTGGGCTAGTGATTTGTGTCAAGATCCCCGAAGCCCATGGCCTTGTTGATCTTTTTTGCCCTTTTTAGAACCACTGGGCCTGTAGATAAAAGGCTGAGATAATGGGCCAGCCTGTCTCCGTGTGGGCTATAGTCATCAGGTATAGCATATGTTTTTCAGTCCAAACATGGTCTTGACCCATCCTTTTTAAGAAATTTCTTATCATCCAAAAAAATGTTCTCACAGTTTTAAAAAATGTTACTTATCATTCAAAAAAAAATTACAACGTGTATTTAAAAAAAAATTAACAAATATTAAAAAAATACTCAAAGCAATGTTTTCAAAATGTTAATAATGTATTTGAAAAATGTTAAATGTGTATAAAAATGATTGAGATGTATACAAAATATGAAGAATGTGTATGATTAAATTAGGCATCAAAACATACATTTAATAAAAATGTAATCATGTTTTAAAATTGCTAAACGTGTATAAAAATATGTTCCTAATGCATAGGAGAAATGGACAATGTGTTTGAAAAAATTAGACATGTGCTGAAAAAAAACTGAAAAATGAGTAAGGAACGTAGAAAACCAAAAGAAAACCGACACATAAAACCGAATGAAAAGAAATAAACAACGAAAAGAAAGAAAGAATGAGAAGACCAAAGATAACCTCTAAAGAAAAATCGAAAACCCCACAAAAAACCCCGATGAAAACCAACACGGGAAAAAAAAGAAAGAGAAAACAACATGCGCTTAAAAACTGCTCCCGCAAGAACCCATATTGGGTCATCCTAGTAACACTATGTTTTTCTCTCCAAGCATGGTCTTGACCCATCCTTTTAAAGAAATTTACTTCTCCCTTTTTTTTTCTCCCTGGTGTGTTTTATAAGGTGCTAGGGAAAGGGATCTCATCTTCCGTTTCTTCCTACACCAACCCTCGACCACATCACCCGTCCCACTGCATTGAATTTGCTCTTTGATGCCCCAAACTGCATGACCTCTCAGTCAATAACAAATTTATCATGTATCATCTTCCTAGGAACTCCCCCCATCTAACCCAACATAATGTTTTGCCTTTGTAATGATAGTGGATCCCGAAATGTAGGTCATGAAAAAAGGAACCCAACATAAAATATCTAATGGATTTGCATTGGCATATTGCTTACAGCCTTGTCTGGTCATGACACATGCCTAAGAATTCTCCGCAACTTGTTATTCGGGGTTAGATATTTGCAATGTAAACTGCTTGTCCTCGTTGGATCTCCGAGTAGGAGAGTTTGTAGTAGGGAGAAGAGAAGCATTGTAAGGAGAGGAGTGTGAAGAGAGAAGACAACGGAAATCACGATAACCTTTAGAATTATGTAGCTAGGGCTACATTAGCCCTCTGGGTACAAACAAGCTTTGCTTATTCTCCTCAATGCGAAGACATGCTCATTAGTCCTGCTCGTGTCATTTTTCTGTTACAACTTTGCTAGGAGATATGTGGTTTGAGATGTGCTTCTACAATCAATGATATTAATGACAAATTCGGTTAAGTTTTGGATATTGTTGAATATATATGATCTATTGGTGCGTGCTTAGCTCCGTTTGTAGTCTTCATATAGCACACATTTTCTTGCATTACTCTATCGGGGAGTTGTAAGACGGATATACATTTCTGTTTGGTTCATAATTTGTGTGGCACTATTGTAATATTTACTGATTTTGTTAGTGAAATTGGAGATGTACACTTTTATCGAAAAATGAGTCGGATAAGGAGAGCGCGGTAAGGAGATATCCATTGTGGGATTTTTCCTCGGGTACATTTTAATGCTAAGGTTTATGTGGAGTTCTTTCTTTTAGAGTCATGTATAATGTGGAACTCTGCCAAGTGTCAGCTAAGTGTGCAAGCTTGATTCCCAATCTTGAATGGGGTGTTTGTTTTCCTGTAAAGAAATATCTGGGTAGATTTAACCTTGTACTTAAGCAAACTAGTCATTGGCATACAATCATTTTGTGATTCCTGGAACAATGGATGTGTAAATGCTCACCCAACACAAAACCCAAAGTAGGCTTGTGACCTGAACTCGCGCAAAGATATAACCTTGGAATTAAGCAAATTATTCGTTGGCTTGGAATCCTGCAACTGCAAACTCGGAGGGTACAATCTCGATCCAAAAACATGTATTTCTCGGTGAATTTTCTGGTGAGAAACCAAATATTTTACAATGACCTCGAAGACCGTTGTCGCTTGTTTTGTTCCGGACATTGTGTGACTCTGGCTCAGTCAATTAGTCTAGCCTCCCTTCAAAGTAAGACATTTTCTGGACCCCGCCAGGGTCTCATTCAAAGGAAGGCATGGGCTTTTTCTGGACTCCGCCTGGGTCTCATTCATAGGAAGGCATGGGAGTAAGACTTTTTCTGGACCCGGATGGGTCTCATTCGAAGCAAGGCATGATATGATCCTATTGGTGCTCACTTAGCCCGTTTTAGTGTTGATATAGTCAACATTTTCTTTCTTACATTGCTAAATATGCTAGATGTCGCAAATAAAATTATTTCCTTTTTGTTTCCATTTTGTTCATAATATATGTGTCTAGACTCTAACGTTTAACGGTTTCCGTTGGAAAAATCAGGGATAACCATTCTTTCTCGATAAAAAAATGGTTTAAGGGTAAACACTTTAACTGAACTGCAAAAGCTAGCGTCTTACATTTTGACAAAGAGTGCTAAGAAATTTCGTTCTTAGGTTGGCGTGGAGCTCTTTCTTTGCATGAGGTGGAGCTCTACTAAGTGTCGGTTTGCAAACTACACTCACAAGTGTCAAGTCTCCTGGAATGGGACGTTTGGTTTTCCTAGATATAATAATCTGACCACGTCTACATGTAAACATCAAAGTGGACTTGTCATACACGCAAAGATTTAACCGTTTAACTAATAATCAAGCAAATCATTGCCATGGAATTCCTCCATTCCAAAATTATGATAGTAGAAAAATATGTACCACTCGGAGAAATCGTTGGTGTGGATGGAAATATGCTCGCAGATACAAACGAATTAGGCAAGGAATTTCCACGCAAACAGACATTGTAATTGTGCGCTTAGTCTCTGAAGTCATGTAGCGTCAGCGATGCGTGTGGAACTAGTGACCACATGTCGACTGTATTGTTAAGATCTTATACAATACTAGATACTTAGGGAGTTGCTTAGAAAAGTAACCCGGGTTTTTTTAAACACCAGTGTCTACAAATAAGCACGGGCCATTCTTTAAGCACCTTCCCTAAGCGTATTGCATTGGACAAGGCCTAATGATGCTACATCTAGGCTTCTCTAACAACAATAACATAGGCATTCATGTCATCATGTATAGTGGATTATATGGATTTGAACTGGTCATTAAGTTACTGATTTTTCGGCGTCTCATTATAGTTAAGTGGCCATCACAAGTCTGAACCTGTCATGTCATGGATGGAGAACATTTTGCTTATGCGCGTCTAGCTTAGCTATACTAGCTTGGAACGGGTCGGCAACATGGCGATTTTTTTTTCTTTTTGAATTGTCACCCGGCTGGTTTGACAGTTGCGGTGGCAGAAGAAGACGAGGATATGTAGCCAGGAGAGGTCGGACTCAAGTTGCCGGCATATGTCACGGTCTCGGTCTCCGGAGTCCCTGTTGTACACCTACGTACGGTACGTCGTCGTGACACAAAACTGACATGGTAAAATGGAATTAGCACGGAGTAACAGTCAACTTCTTTTTGCCTGAAAAGCAACAGTCCACTTGGGAGGTGCGTACGAAAGAATAAAGGGGGCTGCCTATTTATAATCATCCGCATACTGAATTTGTAATTTGGTTGAGTCGATTTATGAACGAAGGAACAGCCGATTTTCCGGGGTCTTCCTGACATTGGTAATGCACCATAGACCCGTCCTCCGCCACCCGTCGAACCGTTGTGGACTGTTACTCACGAATCATGTCGCTCACTCGCACCCGCCCTAGCCCAAGCCACCGCCGCCACCCCGACCATTTCTCTACACATCCCTCCTCCCCATCTCTCTGGTGCCGGTAAGCACCCACTGCATTGTCGTCTCCATCGGCGACAACATGGTTAGCCACATCGTCCCTATCTCTGGCTCGGTCCTACCTCGCCCTTGACGGAGACACCGCAGCTGACCCACCACCTCGCCCTCTTCTTCAACAAAAATCGACCAACCGCGATTCTAATTTCAGGCAACTGGTCAATTGCAACCGCGAAAAACAAATTTATGCTTCACTGTCCATTCCCTAAGGAAAAGGTGCTTGGCTAGTCATACAGAAAACAGGAGGAACAACCACGTACATGATCTGAAAGTTACGAGCATCTGAATATCTAGTGCTAGTATCCCGAAATTGTACATCTACGAGCTACGTCACTATGGTACAAAAAAACGCCCGATCGACGTGGTCAAAACATGCGTGAAGAGGCCGGAGATAGCTAAGCTAGTAGTTCTCCGGTATGGTCGCGAGACGAGGCCTCCACGCAACCTCGCACGCGCTCATCACACCGTCGCCGCCGGCGAGGACCTCCCCCATCCTGGATTCACTCTCCGCGGCGGCCTGCTCTTCCAGCTTCGCCATGAACTCCGCCGCCTCCTTCCTCGTCATCAGCACCTTCAACCTCATTGTTGAGTATATGTGTTATGTGCATATTGTGTATTGGGCCCACCTCCTAGTTCCTGTATAGTTGAGGTCCGTGGCCCATCTTTGCACATCATATATACGTGCCTATGCATGAAGAGCAATACATCGTGCAATTCACATAATCTACATGGTATCAGAGCCAAGAGGTCTTGAGTTCAAGACCCGGCTGGCGCAATTAAAATTGCAGCCCACTTTCGGTCCACGTTTAGGCCCGAGGGAGCCAC